CCAGTGAAACATTCAATGAGGCTTGTAGAGTTGAGGTAAGATACTGCGCTAATATTGTACTCGGGGAAGCTGGATCGAGCCCGGCCAAGAGCGCGGATGTAGTGTTGAAGTTGGACAGTTTAGCGTCTCCGATGAGCGAAAATTGACCGTTGTTCTGTGCGCTGTAGGAAATGGAGACGCTATAAGCCGTGATGGTGCATGTGCCAACATAAAATCTATACTCGGTCAGATCGGGAACACTACTGGCTGAATACCAGCCAGTCCTGTTGTTGGCAACTGGAAAATCAACAGTATCCGGTGAGGCGGCCCAATACAACATAACTTGGGCACCCGTTGGGTTTAGGGAGGAATTGAGCGTATAACCGCTTCCACTGTCCTCTTCGTCGAAGATCATGGCGTTGTTGGATATATTATACTGGTTCACGGTGCTCGCCACTTCCCCGGGTACCAGTGAACTGACATTGAGTGGGGGGTTGAATGCTGAGCAGAAAAGGATGGTTTCCTCCAAGGTGTCGACCTCGCAGTTTGTGACCGGTCCACACTCAGCCTTGAGACCAAATGTATCGAAGTGGACCGCATCAACGTCCGCGGGTAGGTTCTTGGGGGCAAGAATGGCCACATCCCCAACAAATATGATCTGTGAGACGTGGCTCCTATTCTGCACCACAGCTACGCCCTCGTTGATGACCGCAGCATCACCCCAGAACCACTCTGGGGACGAAGCTGATGCTCTCCCTACGTGAAGACAATTGCTGTAGTTGGTGCCTTGCTCTAGGGCAGGTATGATTTCAACAAGAGCGGGACCAGGGCAGAGCGTGGTGTTGAGTTGACTCCCGACAAAAGGCAACACGTGGGTGGGCACCGGTGTGATATCGGTGTGTGTAAATGTGCTTGCAGTGGTATGCAACCAAAAGTCCGCGATGCTATAATGTATATAAGTTGCACCAGTCCAATCAGAGGATCCAAAAAAAACTTACGAGAGAGCATAATTTATAAACAACATCACGGCAACGACTGCAAAGGCTGAAACTAAAATCGACGACAATGCTGGCCGTTTCTTTCTTGATTGCATCATGTATCTGGCAGCATCGTATGCGTTGGTCAGGCCCGAGGATCTGCACAGGCCCAAGAGCAATCCGTATTGAACCGGCGTCGGCATCATCTCGTTCTGTCCGCGCTGCTGTTTACAGATCCATAGGCTTGCGAACCAATAAGAGCAGACTCCTAGAACAACTGGTGTTGTGAAAGATACGACGTGCACCTGCATATCGACAGTGTTGAGACTCTAATATTCCCCAGATGCAGGAATAACTCACGGCAACGGAGGAAATCGCAAGGCCGTACATTGTCGTCTCTGTGCCGTCATTATTTCCACCGGCACTGACAGGGAGCTGTTGCCGGCCTTCCGCAGCGACTAGAGCACCACGAAACGTGCTGCTCTCCTCTGCTGTGCTGGGCGAAAGCACTCTTCGGGACAGCAGCCATCCGATCAAGCACGATGCAGTTCCCGCAGTTGCTGCAAAGGAAAGTAGAACCGGGAGCGAGGGTAGGATTCCGACTCGTTTTGGTTGGCCGAACTGAATGACCTCGGTATGCACAACGTCAGCCAACCGGCGGTTTGGCTTCAGAGGATCGAGCGGTGAAATTTCTGAGTCGTCTACTAGACTGGATGCGTCGGTCATCGAGGGATCAGTCATTGTAGTGGGAGGAGATGAGGAAAACAAGGGAGTCTTAGCTGGAGAGGGAAGCTATATACTCCCAGAGGCAGTTGGCTGTTCCCGCAGCAATTTATCACAGCCTCTACGATGATCGGGAACATGTTAAACCGCAGTTGAACTTCTTTGTGATATCCGGAGTCCCTGTTGTCCTGCCATTGGTATGCAACACAAAAAGAGGAAGACAATAGCGGTAACAGTGCTCTATCTTACGACAATATCATCGGTAATCTCCCGTCCCCGCGTTGCAGACACCACTTTCACGCATTTCGACAATGATGCTTCTCCCGTCGGTTTACGATTGCCGGATCTCATATCAGTGATCAAAATTACACTCATTTGAAAGCTGATTCTTTGCATCGCCTGACAATTGGTTTTACCCCACCCTAATTTTATACTTCAGGCATCATAGAACGCTGTGCCTACGTTTGATAAATTTGGCGGAGCCCTTGGTTACTGAATCCGGTGAGCTGTCCATTTTATGTACTGGTCTGTATGTCACCACGAAAATTGCCCGATTGGAGTCCCATTTTTCTTGTTACGTGCTATCAGCCGAGAATCAACTGTGCATCGCAACACCTGAAACAGAAAGATGATCACGATCCATCGCAATTTGCAGTGTACAAGTCATCTTTCCCATAGATATGTACGATGGCGCTCAACATTGGTAAGGATAGGCTATTTATCAACATACAGCTTGTCCCCCTCCAGACGCTACGTTCACAAGATGTTGCTGCACCGCCACTGACCAGGATGCGGAACTTCGTGTTCGAGCAACAGACTTGAATGATCAAATACATAATCAAGAAGTTGGAGATCCTGCAGCATTGATACACACGTACTATGTAATTTGTCGCCAACAAAGGGTTGTGGTTCAAACGTTCACATTGATGAGGCTAAAATGAGACTATTGAAGAGGGACAAATATCAGAAGTCAAAAAGAGAAAAGGTACCCAGCTGAAATGCCCCATGAAGACTGGACCGACATCTCCAACACCAAGGCTGCCCTGCTGTTAATATTATCCACTTCCACTGCTGGCCCGTAGCACTGCCACGGTGGCTGTGGAGTCTCTCCTTTCTTAACCACCACGACGACTCACCAACAACTCACTGTCAAATTCGAGTTCTAGGCCGGTCAGTACTGCCCAAATTGACGACAAACAGTTGCTTATTTCCATAATACGCAGATGAGCGGTGTACCTCCACATCTGAGGCCAGCTCCCGGAACGCGACACCACGGACTCTTGACCTCCAACCAACCGCCTCTGGACTCTGACTTTCTAACTGTCCAATCGGTCCTCTTCGAAACCGACGCGCGCTTGGTGTCTGTTGACGATGAGATAGCCTGCGTGTCTCAACAGCTGGAAAAACTGAAGCAGAAGCGCTCCTCGTTGTCGAGCTACCGAGCGCAGAATGGATCCATTCTCTCCCTTCTCCGGAGGATGCCCCCTGAGATTCTAGGCGAAATATTTATGCGCACGTTACCGTCCCCCAGGCGTCGAAAAAGAATCCAGATAGCGGACAGCCCTTGGGTCCTGACTCATGTATGTCAGGATTGGAAGAAGATCGCCCTCTCCATTCATTCCCTGTGGTCATCAGTGATCGTTTCCTACCTCCCCGAAACAGGCGCCGGAACGTACTCATTGGCAATGGTCGAAACACAGATCGCACGCGCTCAGAATGCAAAGCTGAAGATCCATTTCTACGGCAATGGACACGTATCCGGGAACTCCCAGGAGCAGATTGAAATGTTCAAGACATTGGCGAGGCACGCCACGCGATGGGCAGAACTCAACGCTCAGTTGACACTGGCTTTGTTCCCGCTCGTGGCGAACCTTCGGGGCAACCTCCCCTCTCTGCGTAAATTATGGATCCGCTGGTCCGGGCACACACTGCATATGCTGCCGCAGGACCTCGAGACTTTCAAACAGATGCCTTGTCTGCGAGACATCGGAGTTCTTGACTACTCTCGGGCTTTCCCTTTCCACTTCCCTGCGCAGCACCTCACTCGTTATGAACTTGAGGCCCCGTGGGATACGCACCGGCGCATACTGCTAATCGCTAAAAACCTTGTCGAAGCCTGCATCATCAACTCGGACCAGCCGCTCATACTCGAGTCTGGGGAAACGATCGATTTGGCGCATCTTCGCCGTCTATACGTGGACGATGTCGGACAATTCAGCATTCTGAGGTTTCTTCGCGTCCCTGTGCTAGAGGAACTCGCTACGGGCACCGAAATTGCAATTGGAAACGAAGATGAAGCCACTCATATTCTACCACATCTCGACGCCTTTCTCACTCGATCTTCTTCTATCCGAAGCCTGCGCCTCGATCCATCCGCCGACAATAATGCGATCATCGACATTTTGCACCGATTCCCCTCTATTGTTGAGCTCGCAATCTCACTCGAAGACCGCAGAAGGGGGATATGTTGGTCGCGGAACTCACCGTTTCCGACGCAGCGATTACTGCGGCTCCGCAGCTGCGCTCTTTGTCTCTGGGATGGGAGGCCGGCGCCAATATAGACTATCACGCACTTCTGGAGATGGTGAAATCGCGCATGAGGGCGGATCATTGTGCCCTCAAGCAGATCGTGCTCCTCCTTACAGAGGGAACTTTTGGTCCCGACTCGACGTTTACTGAGCTCAAGATGCTTCGCGAAGAAGGATTGGATGTTGTTGTACTGGATGGAGAGGATGCGTCCGAAGTCATGGACGATTGGGTTTTCCATCGAAGATATTGATCGGTACTACATACTTAAGCCCAACGTAGGGATTAGACACAACGTACTCGGACTTCAGACTTTCGTCCCACAAAGCGATTTTGCGTGCGGCATTGTTATATTCTAGCGCGGCAGGCTTTCCAGCTCAACCGCAATCAATCCAGGTGTTACGGACACATTCAAAGGCCTTCACACGTCAACATATGTGAGTGTAATGGGCGAGCCCATCGTTCCCGGTTGGTTGAACTTGCCAGCAGTGTTTTCCCCAGCATTGCACTCAATGGATGCGTGCCACTGAGTACATTGCCAATTTCCATCAGCCTAGATAAATTTAAACTGGTTGAAAGTTCAAGTTCAACATCGTCACGTGGGCAATGTTCAACCTCCAAAGGATTTCACTATTCCCCAGAATCACGCGTTCTGTGTTGCGCAGCCCTACTTGTTGCAATTCATTCAGTTACACAATAGGCACGAGAGGCACAGCACCTGCTGACCCGAGGAGGATGAGATATGCTCGCTTCTGAGTTTAACTCATGTGCAGTAAATCAACCCATCCTATTTATGCCCTCGTGGATCAGCGGTAGATCATCCGTTGCTTTTCGCCATGTAATGAAGGAAGTTCTGTCGACCAGCTGGGTTTGAATCCCAGCGAGGGCATGATGTCGTTATCGCTAATTTTTTCCTTCAAGTTGTTGTTGCTCCTAACTTTATTCCATTTTCCTGTGCCCGACAACGGGACATACAAGAGCGAGAACAGAAAACTGGAATTCAAGTTAACTCCTTTACTTGCTCACACTCCGGCCGAAACTCGACCCCTCCCGCAATTCATCGTAGATCAGTGGTAAATCCTCCGCTCAATGTACCGAGGATTGCGAAAGTTTAGTGGACGACGTGGGTTAGACTCCCACCGGACTTGATTTCTTTTCTTTTTTACGATATGCAGCACTAACTCTAAGTAAGTATTACGTACCTTACTTGAAATGTGGGAACACACACTGAGCCAACACTGAGCACATGTGACAGAATACCAGTTATCCGCGACGGTGCGAGGATTCATTCAGACGAAACAATAACGGCTTTACGCAACGGGAAAAAAAGTGCAAAAGAGAAGGGGAAAACGGAACCGCTCAGTGCTTCCATTCGTTTATTCGTTCGTTCTGCATTTTGTAGGACCTTCTCCATCGGCTTGCCTGTGTGCTCCCACCCCTCCGCGTCCTTGTCTTGTATCTCCACATCCACGTGCCGCTCCTCCAATGGCGCCTGCAGGTCCACGAGCGCGAGCGCGCGTCGGCGACGCGACGAGCGGCTCTCCTTGCACGTCTGCCACGAAGCAGGGGCATTCGTTGAGGGCTTGGATCAAGCTTGGATGCTGTCGGATCCGAAGCGGAAATACGAACAAGGGGGTGAAGAATGCGAGCCCAGCGCTCAGAACGATGCCCGCACACGGGAGTGTGCCACCCAGACGATGCAAATGCAAATGCCTCGCAGGGAACGGGGTGCCTTCACATCCATCCCCATGCCTCTACCTTCGCCTTCGTATCCATCTCCACCGGCGCCCCCGCCGCTAACCAAGGCCGCGACGCGCGACTCCTCTTGCGCGCCTTCGCTGGGGCGGCTTGGTGCTGCGTAGAGGCAACGGGCGTAACCAGTGAAGGAAGAGAAGCGGCGCGTTCAGACCGACGCCCTCGCACTCAGGCTCAGACCGTGCATGTGGCGTGGCATGCGCGAGCGCTTGTCTCGCTTAATCTCCTCCGTGTCCTTGGCCTCGTCCACGCGCTCCGCCTCGGATTGCGAGCGCCTCAGGCTCAGGCTCAGACTCAGACTCCGCAAGGGCGCCCGACAACACGACACGCGGCCTGTTTCGGTGAAGCCGAGGCGCTCGTGGTGGGCTTGGGCGCGAAGGCGCGAGTGCGAGCGCGGGGACGAAGTGGTTAGGAAGTCTCATGCTTAGAACGACGCCTTTGCATTAAAAAGATGCGCGTTCAGAACGACGCGCTCACACTCCCCCTTCTCATCCACTCGCCCCGCCTCTGCCTCAGCGAGCACCGCTGAATCAGGCTTCGCGACGCGCGGTTGATATTACACGTCTTCGGCAAGGGTGAGGCGCTCGTGGTGCGCTTGGACCTGAGCTGGGCCTGGGTGCGGAGGCGGCGTGCACGGAGGCGACGACTCGTGGATGGTCTTCAATACCTGACGGTAATAGGATCAATCCTTTCCACCAATTGGTGGAGGATAGGATTTATCCGTTACACCAAATCTCGGAGACCGTTAAAATTATTTCTGCTGTATTTGTGCTAGTATCCTATCTATCCTATTTGTATCCTATCGAAGCCATTCAATCCTATCCTAAGGAACCACCAGTCAGTTAAGCAGAGAATCGAATCCTATCATGTCGAATCCTATCCTATCCTATCCCTATTTGTAAGCACTAAGATAGGATACGATAGGATAGGATAGCAACGCACCCAGTTTCATGCTCGCACCCCAGCGTTGAAGCCGATGTGAATCCTATCCCATCCTATCCGTCAGTCGTCAGTGTAATAGGATAGAGTAGGATAGGACAGGATAGGATAGGATAGGATAGGATAGGATAGGATAGTGAAATTGGAATCCTAACCAGGCCACTCTACCTAATGCGCGCCTCGGAAATCTTCTGGCCCGCGCACACGTCTGCCCGATACCCTTTGTTGAAAGCAGCCCGCCGAGAGGCTGGTCGAAATTGGTGGCTTCACACTGATTGCCTCTTTAGGGAATTCGGTCTCCTTTTTAGGGAATTCGGTCTGTCACCAGAAACAACGATCTATTCTCGCATAATTACGACGCAAGGAACTAAAATAAGGCGGCACATGGGCCTCAACTGGCGTCAGCTGAAGGTTTGCATACGAGGAGCCGATGCTGCGTACCCGGAGTATCAATCCCTGTCTTCCCTATCCTCATGCTCGTCATCGTCGCTGTCGGGAGCTACGAGAAATCGAGTCAGGTAAAATTTCACGTCCAGCGGGATAAACTCACATTCGCGCCACTCCCTCTCGTAGTCGTCGTCCCAGGAATACCCCTTCGGCAAGTTGTCGGCATACTGCACGAGTCAGCTCCGAGTTTTAGCGTCATACGTGAATTTACTCACCTCAAAGTAAAAGAAGTAGCCAATCTGCCTCCCCGGGCGGAGCTTTCGTGGCGCTTTCGCGGCGGGCGGCTCAGCCGTCGAGCGTGTTACGCGACCCCCCGCCGTTTTGGCAGGCGCCGGCTTGGGCTTCTTAGCGGCAGGCAGCGGAGCAGGCGCGGTGTCCGCAGTCTTGCGCTTCTTCGACCCGGTGACGCCCGTGGCCGCGCCTCCTGCAGCCGACGAGCTCTTCTGCTTCCCGCCGGCACCGCTGGGTTTGCCTCCACCAAGTGTCTTCGGCTTGGGCCTTGCTCCCACAGCCCCCGCTTTCTTCTGCTTCTTCTTCTCGCCGCCCTCCCCCTCCTCGTCCGCCTTGCGTTTGCCGGTGTTCCCGCCCCCTTCATCGTCGCCGATGGACGACAGAGAAGATAGCGCGGAAGGCGCCGGCGACGGAGGTGGCACAGCTTTTGCAGCACCGCGCTGGTCCTTGTCCTTCTCGCTCCCTGAACCCTCGTCCGCCTTCCGCTGTCCACCGTTCCCCGTCCCTTCATCGTCCCCAGCGGTCGACCCAGTTTTCCCCTTCTTGACCTTTTTCTTCTTCCCCTTATCGCCCGCGCCCTTCTCGTCCGCGTTCTGTTGTCCGCCGTCCCCGCCCCCTTCATCGTCCCCGACTGGAGATGGAGTCGCTGGCGCTGGCGACGCAGGTGGAACAGCTGGAGCACCCAGGGCGTAGTCCGGTAGCCGGCTCCCCCCGGCGACGTTCTTCTTCGGGACCTTCGGGTCGCTGGAGTTGCTCTTTGCGCCGGACGGCTCGACGGCCTTGGCGGGGCCGACAGGCTTGACACCCTTCGCTATGTCGTCCTCGTCGACGGTGTCCGCGACCTCGGCCCTGGGGTCACGGAACACGAGCGCGCCCGGCTCCTCTGGATTCTGGTCCTTGGCAATCCGCTTGTAGAGCTCGTGCAAGGCCCCGGTATCCATGGTCGCGGGCCGAAACGTTTCCCAGACACCGTCCTCGTCGCCTTTCCCATCGGGCGCCATTTGCATTGAGAACACGATGTCGTCCATCGCGGCGGGAGTGGGATATGTTAACCATTCTGTTCTTATAGTCAGTCCGCAGCTCAAGCAATAGCGCAAGCCACTCACCATGAAGTCTATTGCCATACAATACCAGCAGGCGACGCACGTCGTTCGTCGACATGTCGTCGTTCCAATCGGGCAGCGCCGGTGAGCCTTCCTTCCCAACTAAGACTGTCAAGTCTGCCTCGTCTGCAATTTCTGCCACCCGAGCGTCAGTACATGCTACGACAGAAACGAGTGGTAGGACGTACGCGGTAGAACTTCCCCCGCCCATCGTTTGAAGGCGGCCACGAACTCCTTCGGCTCAGGAACGTCGAAGGCGGGCGCGTTTTCTGTCGGCTGCATAGACAATCTGAGTTCGTGTCAGTCGTGTAAATCGATTGTATGGACGATCCACATACTGGAACAACTTGAGTTTCCCATCCTCGTTACGAAAGCCCCCTGTTAACTGCAGGGCGATGTCCCCAAGGCCGCCCCAGCCCCAGCCCATCTTCTTCGTTAGCGCGCTAGCCAGCTGCTGAACAGCCTTTGATTGGTTTCTGTACAATACTATCAGCCACTGCACGTCACCATCTTCAGACCCACTTACTCGCGTATATGGCTCGCCGGTGGACCCTTCGCCAGCTCCTTGTTCGAGTCCTCCGCTCGCTTCTCAAACTCTTTCCGCGTCTTCTCATCAAGCGCAGCCCAACCCGCCGTCTTGGCTTCCCCCCAATACTTGAGATTCTGGCGCTGCACGCCCACATGCTCAGGCGGCGTCAGCGCCTTCGCATCCTCCGCCAGCTGCTTCCCGGCCTGCTTTACGTACTCCGCGAGGGCGGTGGTCGCTTTGGGTGGTTTCGTTGAAGCCTTCTCCACGACGGTTTCGCCACTCTTGACGATGCCGTTGTTGTAGCAGTAGCGCTTAATTGCCTGCATCCAAAGCCATGTCAGTTTGAGTCATGCCACTGCGTTCTGAACACTAACCTCACGAACGTCGTCCAGTCTGTAGTCGGTTTCGGGTGTGAACTTCTTAATGAACGGCGGCGCGACATTGTTGAGGACCCAGTTCTTCTTAAGCCCTTTGACGCCTGACTGGTTCTCCAATGTGCGCTCATAGTCGCGAAATTTTGGTAGGAATTCGTCCACGAACTTGCGTTGTTCGCCTTCCAGTTTGAACGTCGCTTTCGTGGCTCCGTCGGACATTGAGTTGAGTGAGTAACGAGGCGTAGATATCGATGTAAGAGAACGGAGAGGAGAAAGAAGAGAGAAAGGTTGTTATAAGAAAGCGTTCTTTGTTACATGCTTTGACCCTCGCGCCACTGGGAAAATACAATAGGACAGTGGGCGAACAAGGAGCATTGGCCAGCCGAAACGAACAATAAGAATGATGAATGGTACGGTAAAGACGAAGCGGAAGGCGAAAATGGGCTCAGAGCGATGGATAAGTAGGTGGATGGAACAAGGAGGTGGATGGAATAAGTAGAATATAAGGTGG